ACTCATCCACCATTTCCTTCAAAAAATCGAATTCATGCATAAACGCAAAAATATTCGCTAGTTCGGGAGCTGGTGCCGTTCCCATAAAGATACCAGAGGCTTGTTGGTACATGCCGTTACCAAATTGTACAAATCCTTCATCCAAAATAAAATCTATCCATTTACAGACCCGTTCCCATCCAATGTAATTCGTTCGACTTCTGCTAGATGTTACGCTGCTCGGGTTTTCCTTCGACCACTCGATGTCTCTAACAAATGGTGTCTTATTATCAGGCCCAATACCCCATCTCAACTTCATCGACTTAAACCCGTGTCTCTCAGCTTGGTGTTCAAACGACAATTTCAAAGCTTCCCTCAATTTTTCCTTCAATGGTACTACAGGGATATTAGGGTACATACCAACGAAGTCAAATGTTTGGAAGACATGCGCATCAGTACATCCCTCCATTTGTGCTCGAATATCGATATCCTGTGCTACTTCTAGAAGACTTTCCCCGCTAGAGGTAATCCAACATTCCTTGGCAGCAATTCCAACTTTTGCGCATTCTTCACGCCAGATCGTGTGTAAACAAGGCCGGATACCAGGTTTTGTTTTCTTCAACCCGTGGTCTCAGCACACAATATTGCAAATCCATAATTCATGTGCTGTCTTGTCGTTTGCCATCGGTCTTTATTGGCTTGTTGTCTTCAGGAGATGGTGTTTTTCCGGGACGACATCCTCAAGAAGATGCAGCGGCACGCCTTGTTCCCGCCCTCGGATCCCGACATGGACGTCACCGAGCATGTGAGACGAGTACAGACTTATTCGCTACGAATCACCCCATTGATCTGTGTCCCTTTGAATGGCACATGAGATGGGTCTATCTTACACGCGAGACGTAATGCTTTATAGAGTCAATATGTACGATGGGTAGAACTTGAATGCAGGTGAGGCGAAAAACAAGCGATGTGTCCCCAAACAACACAAGAGATTAGGCTAGACGTAGCTTGCCTCTTCCATATAGCAGGTCGTCGAGCTGTGTTTTTTGTCAAGTGTGTGTTGCTCGTTGTGGCAGAAACGCGTCAGCGAGTTATCTTCTGAACATATGCAGTTTCCGCCCAACCCTATGCTATGGCTAGAAGATTAACGGCATCCAAAGACCACGCTCCTCTACCGGTTGAAGTTGTGAATCAAGTTGGTTTGCAAAATATTATGATATTCCATGGAGAACATGGCCTAGGCTCAGAAGCCGCGCGCTCGCTTCGCCCCTCGCTGTCTTCGCCGCGATGTCCGACCACAAACGAGTAGTCCCCACCAAAACACAAACAACATGCGTGACCCCCCTCCCCTTATAACGCCTCTCGAAAGTCGAAGGCGTAGCAAACACGTACCCCCCCCCCCCCCCCCCCCCCCCCCCCCCCCCCCCCCCCCCCCCCCCCCCCCCCCCCCCCC